AGCCCAGGCAAGCATACAACGTGATGGATCTTCACAAAGGAAACAGGACCACGTAACCACCAACCTGATCAAGGAGGGCATGGTTGGCACACCAGGGGCCACCCTACTTCACACTCCCTTCCAGTTACCACCCCTCCCAAAGTAACCATCAGCCTACTAATGGTATCAAATGGCTTTGTCTTTGAACTGTATATACATTAATCAGTAGAATCACACAAGAACTGGCTTCTTTCAATCAACATCTATGACAGTCACCCATGTTGTTACAGCAAGCTTGTCATTGCTGAGTAGCACTGCATTCCAGTGTACGAAAAATACCACATTTATCTGTTCTACTGTTGACAAACATTTGGGTTGTTTCTAGTTTTGATCCATTATGAATTATGCTATTTTGGTGAACATATATATGTATATTCATATATATGTATGTAGGATTGGAACATTGAACTATTCACATATCTCTTTGTTTTTATTTTTTGGGTCTTGCTTTGTCACTCAGGCTGGAGTGCAGTGGCACAAACATGGCTCACTGTAGCCTCAACCTTCTTCCCATGCTCAAGTGATCCTCCCACCTCAGCCTCCCAAGTAGCTGGGACTGTAGGCAGTCACCACCACACCCAGCTAATTTTTGCATTTTTTGTAGAGATGGGGTTTCACCATGTTGTCCAGGCTGGTCTGGAATTCCTGAGCTCACTGATCCACCCGCCTTGGCTCCCAAAGTGCTGTGATTACAGGCGTGAATCACTGCACCTGGCTCTTTGTCATTTTTCTTTTTTTTTTTTTTGAGATGGAATCTAAGTCTGTTGCCCAGGCTAGAGTGAAGTGGCTCGATTTCGGCTCACTGCAACCTCCGCCTCCCAGGTTCAAGTGATTCTCCTGCCTCAGCCTCCCGAGTACCTGGGATTACAGGCACGCACCACCACGCCCGGCTAATTTTTGTATTTTTAGTGGAGACAGGGTTTCACCATGTTGGTCAGGCTGGTCTCCAACTCCTGGCCTCATGATCCACCTGCCTCGGCCTCCCAAAGTGCTGGGATTACAGGAAAAGTGAGATCTACAAAAAAAAAAAAAAAAAAGGCTGGGCGTGGTGGCTCACGCCTGTAGTCCCAGCACTTTGGGAGGCCAAGGCAGGTGGATCACCTGAGGTCAGGAGTTTGAGACCAGCCTGGCCAACATGGTGAAACCTTATCTTAAAAAAAAAAAAAAAGTGAGATCTTGAATAGTGACAGACACCTATAAATGATAAAAGATTCTGTTCAAAAGCTAAAAATGTTATAAAATGCCTAATTACCTAAAAAGTATAGGGTGCTACACTTTTACCTACTTATACTTTTTGGGGTAAAAGGCATTTTACATTTTTAGATTTGGAAATAAGATCCTCCCATAAATACTACTTGGGCACGTTTTCAACGGAAACCTACGTACAAACTTGAGAGGCCACCTGCTTCTTCCCACTGACACCAGCCCCTCCCTCATCTAGGCCTTTGTTCTCTGCTCAGGTCATTTACCTCCTTCCTTCACCCTCTCCGCCTTCAGGATTCTGATGAGACACCACATTCTTGGGAGAATGTTCCAACTCCAACTATGGACCAGCTGCTCCTGCCCTGTGCTCCTCATTTGGTGACTATTCTTATCTTTTTTCAGCCCTTCTCAGACTGTTTTGTGACTGCCTTTTTTTTTTTTTGAGACAGAGTCTCACTCTGTCACCCAGGCTGGAGTGCAGTGTCGAGATCTCAGCTCACTGTAACCTCCGCCTCCTGGGTTTAAGCGATTCATCTGCCTCAGCCTCCCAAGTAGTTGGGACTACAGGCACACATCACCATGCCCGGCTAGTTTTTCGTATTTTTAGTAGAGACAGGGTTTCACCATGTTAGCCAGGATGGTCTCGATCTCCTGACCTCGTGATCTGCCTGCCTTGACCTCCCAAAGTGCTGGAATTACAAGAGTGAGCCACTGTGCCCAGCTGTACTGTTTCTTTACCTGTGTGAATACTGTATTAATTTGGAAATTAATTTGGCTGCTTTCTCAGAGGGCAAAATATAAATGGCTTAAGCAACATAAAGATTGCACACAGAAGTAAGGCAAATCGACCGTCTCAGGGTTGAGGAAACTCCGCCAAAAGGGTTGCCCATGATCCTGGTTTCTTATGTTTTATTTCTTTGTCATTCCCTAGGATGTTGTCTCCATTTACAAGGCCAAAGCAGGTTCATCATCAGCTCATCACTCTCCAGCCCCAGGAAGCGCAGCATGGAGTTAAAAGGACAAGTAGCACCTTCTTTTATTTTTTTATTTTATTTTATTTTTTTTGAGACGGAGTTTCACTCTTGTTACCCAGGCTGGAGTGCAATGGCGCGATCTCGGCTCACCACAACCTCCACCTCCTGGGCTCAGGCAATTCTCCTGCCTCAACCTCCTGAGTAGCTGGGATTACAGGCACGCGCCACCATGCCCAGCTAATGTTTTGTATTTTTAGTAGAGACGGGGTTTCACCGTGCTGACCAGGATGGTCTCGATCTCTTGACCTCGTGATCCACCCGCCTCGGCCTCCCAAAGTGCTGGGATTACAGGCTTGAGCCACCGCGCCCGGCTGCACCTTCTTTTAAACAAGTTCTGACTTTTCAAGGATATAACCAGGGTCTTTGCTTCTGGGGGAAGGTGGGTGAGTTAAATGTAGGCTGCCCTGAGTTAATGATGGGTTAAAGCAACCCAAGTCACTTCCTTTTAAAGATGTAACCAGAAGCTGTTCCCATCACTTCTGTTTATATTATACTAGCCAGACGTTAGTCACTCTCCTGGCAGCAAAAGCCCTTCTTACTAAAAGGTAGAAAGAAAGAATGGACAGTATGGGACGATAAGCTCTCTGCCACACACACCACACTGGGCATTAAGTTCTGAGTTTGTTCACCATTCTGTCAGTAATGCTCAGTACAAAGTGTTTAATGAAACGGCTAAATCTTTGACAGTGCTAGAACAGAGGATATAATTCCGGGAGTTTCTGAATATAGGACTGGATCTTTTTTCTAAGAGAAAGAAAAGTTAGACCGTTGTAGACCAGAATTCAGACTGTTCTGTGAGTTCCCTTGAATAAGCTCTGAATCTTGTTCTTTTTGATGAAATGGGGATAACCCTATTTGATCCCTAGTATGAGTTGGGAGCATTTAAGATCACAATTGGCAGGCCGGGCGCGGTGGCTCAAGCCTGTAATCCCAGCACTTTGGGAGGCCGAGGCGGGTGGATCACGAGGTCAAGAGATCGAGACCTTCCTGGTCAACATGGTGAAACCCCGTCTCTACTAAAAATACAAAAAATTAGCTGGGCATGGTGGCGCGTGCCTGTAATCCCAGCTACTCAGGAGGCTGAGGCAGGAGAATTGCCTGAACCCAGGAGGCGGAGGTTGCGGTGAGCCGAGATCGCGCCATTGCACTCCACCCTGGGTAACAAGAGCGAAACTCCGTCTCAAAAAAAAAAAAGATCACAATTGGCAGTGTGCAGTACACAGATCATGCTGAAAAATGTGATCTTCCCTTCCATTTGGAGAAGTGCTGGCAACATCCACTGTTACATTAGCTGGCCCAGTATCTGCCTGCTGTACCACAACCATCAACCTGTACCACACCTGACTGGCAAAACCAATGAACATACAGTCAGTCTGCTCTCTTATGCGTTCTACATTTTGTGTTGAGGTTAAGCTAAACTACCAGCAAATTGGATACTTAGACCTAAGATGTAATTGTCAAGAAAATTTTTGCTTTTTCTCATAACCTACATCTATGATACGCCCGACTGTGTTACTCTGGATTTGTGCATGTCAAGCAGTCTCGAATCTGCTTCTCAAATTTAAGGCCTTATTGTGCATATTCAAATTTTCCCTTCGTCCTTAATCACCTACCTTTAGTATGTGATACTGATTTGCATTTTTTTTGGGTTCTCCCTCTTCTGGTTTCCTAAGGTATCCCCTTCTTCATGCCCTTTCACTGGGCATGGTCATACTCTGGTGAGATGTCTGAATCCTTCTGGGAACTCCTCAAACAAAGGACTGTGTTTTATTATCTTTGTAACCCTGATATACTTTTAATAACATTTTTTTCATCACATTCTTTTTGTAAATTTTTTTTTTGAGATGGAGTCTCGCTGTTGCCCAGGCTGGAGTGTAATGGCATGCTCTTGGCTCACTGCGACCTCTGCCTCCTGACTTCAAGCAATTCTCCTAACTCAGCTTCCAAAGTAGCTGGGATTACAGTTGCCTGCCACTACACCTGGCTAATTTTTGTATTTTTAGTAGAGACGGGGTTTCACCATGCTTGCCAGGCTGGTCTCAAACTCCCGACCTCAGGTGATCTGCCTGCCTTCGCCTCCCAAAGTGCTAGGATTACAGGCATGAGCCACTGTGCCCAGCCTTGTAAAACTTTTTTTTTTTTTTTTTGGTAGAGAAGGGGGTCTCACTATGTTGTCCAGGCTGGTCTCAAACTCCTGAACTCAAGTGATCCTACCACTTTGGCCTCCCAAAAATGCTAGGATTACAGGCATGTGCCACTGTGCCTGGCCCACATTCTTAAAAGTAGCCTAAAAATTTTTGTAGAAGGCCGGGCGCGGTGGCTCACGCCTGTAATCCCAGCACTTTGGGAGGCCGAGGCGGGTGGATCACGAGGTCAAGAGATCGAGACCATCCTGGTCAACATGGTGAAACCCCATCTCTACTAAAAATACAAAAAATTAGCTGGGCATGGTGGTGCGTGCCTGTAATCCCAGCTACTCAGGAGGCTGAGGCAGGAGAATTGCCTGAACCCAGGAGGCGGAGGTTGCGGTGAGCCGAGATGGCGCCATTGCACTCCAGCCTGGGTAACATGAGTGAAACTCCATCTCAAAAAAAAAAAAAAAAAAAAAAATTTTTGTAGAATGAGGTGAAGTAAAATGATGGGGCGCCAAGCTGGTCACTTATTCCCAGATGGTTGAGGAGGGGTGGGGGAGGAGTTCTTTGTAACTTTTGTGTATAGTCAAAATAGTTCAAAGTAAAAGTTTTATTTGAAAAGTGTAACAGTTATTTTATTTCAGCAGTTTAAAATTTTTCCTTTTTCTTAAAGAGGAAGAAGGCATTTTCACACCAGACTGGTCAGATGGGAAGAATCTTCAGCTTCAGCTTGGCCTCATTAATTTGAAAACAAATTGCTTACATGAGACAGCACCTGTGTCCAGCTGAAAGCGGGTCCTTCAGAGCGTGTAGGGTTCTCTGCTGGCTTGATGGGCTGGCTCCTTTGAGCCGGTTGCTGGAGACGTCACCGGTTGAGGGACTCCTGCAAACGTTCATACATGACTTGATCCTGAGAGGAGAGAGAACACAGAATACAGAGCCCATCACTGCTTGTTATGGGCTGAATGGTGTCCCCCCAAAATTCACATGCTGCAGTCCTCACCCGCAGAACCTCAGAATGTGATTGTAACTGGAGAGAGGGTCTTTACAGAGGAGTCTGAATTAAAACAAGGTCACACAAGTGGGCTCTTATCCAATATGACTGGTGTCCTTACAAAAAGAAGGGATTAGGGCTTACATGCGCAGAGGAAAGAGCACTGCTGGGAGAAGACAGCCATCTGTGAGGACAGGGGCTTAGAAGAACCAACCCTACCCAACACTCTCCAGAACTGTGAGAAAACACATTTTCTATTTTTTAAGCCACCCGGTCTGTGGTACTTTGTCATAGTAGCTCTTGCTGACTAACACACTGTTAAAGAGAGGTGACACTTTACTTTCCTGCATCTAAATCCTAATCTAAATACTATACATGTTCCTTTCCACAGGAAACTCCCATGACTTTCACGATTGTCTACTGAGGTTTTTCTAAAAAATAAGGTCAAAAGATTCTTATGTTTCTATCTAATTAATGAAGAAAGCACAATTCTTAACCTATGCTGAATCCAGATGGAAATGGAGGCGAAAGCAGAAGCTTCTTACACTATATTAACGTTAGTAAGAAACTGCCAGAATGTTTTCCAATGTGATTGTATCTACATTTTCAGCAACAATGTATAAGAATTCCCTGTAATCCCAGCATCTTGGGAGGCAGAGGCGGGCAGATCACCTAAGGCCGGGAGTTCAAGACCAACCTGATCAAAATGATGAAACCCTGTCTCTACTAAAAATACAAAAAATTAGCTGGGTGTGGTGGCGCATGCCTGTAATCCTGGCTACTCGGGAGGCTGAGGCAGGAGAATTGCCTGAACCTGGGAGGTGAAGGTTGTGGTGACCTGAGATTGCACCATTGCAATCCAGTCTGAGCAACAAGAGCAAAACTCTGTCTCAAAAAAAAAAGGAGAGTTCCAGCTGTTTCACATTCTTGCTACCAATTAGTGTTGTCAATCTTTTAAATTTTGGTCTTTGTGGTAGGTGTGTAGTAGAATCTCACTGTGGTCAAATTAACATTTTAAGTGTTGGGTAGCAATTCCACTCCTGTGTATTTATCCCAAAGAAACATTTGAAGTGTGTTTTTTCTTCTGTGTTTATTTGTTTGTTTTTGAGACAGGGCGTTGCTCTGTAACCCAGGCTGGAGTACAATGGTGTGATCATGGCTCAATGTAGCCTCAACCTCCTGGGCTCAAGTAATCCTCCTGCCTCAGCCTCCTGAGTAGCTGGGACTACAGGTACATGCCACCATGCCTGGCTAAGTTTTCATTTTTTGTAGAGACAGGGTCTCACCATGTTGCCCAGGCTGAACTTGAAATCCTGGGCTCAAGCCATTCTCCCACCTGAGCCTCCTGAGTAACTGAGATTACAGGCACGAGCCACTGTGCCTAGCTCCAGAGTGATTTTTTTTTAACCCTTCTCCTACCTATGGTGAAGATATTTTTATTTCCCTGAAATGTATTGTAAGTCCCTATGGCTTAGTTTGGGTACAGTCTAGCTCTAAGAAACACAAAGGCATTTGTCAAAAAGGGAAGAGGAGGTCAAATAATACTTGAATTAGATGATTAAAAATTCTGAGATTATGGAGACAAAAGAGGTCATTCTCTCTCTGAATAAATAGTGGTTAGAGAATCTAGTTAGGAAAACTGTGCTCCAGTCCCTAAGAAACATATAAAATTAAAATCTCTCAAGAACATTCTCACAAAGGCTATTATTTTGCTTGTTTTCAGATCAAAATGAACCATGTAATTTCTTTTTAGGAAGTAGAAGTAGTATACAAAACAATCTGTAAAAGAGTTTAATTCAACTAAAACTCTAGTTTCCTTTCTCTATACATTTAACAGCATTTCTTACCTTTTTTGATATAGATGATCTTACTTTCTTGAAAGCTTCTTCAAAGTGCTTATTACTAATCTTGAGTTCACCTATGGAGCAAATGCACAAATATACACATCTCAGGATGGTACGCTAACTGACTTAGAACTTAACTACCTTTGAAAGACTTCTAAGCTCTCAAGGGGTACGCTAAAGAGATTAGTGATGTGATGGGCTGTATATTCTTTTTCAGAACAGTATTCTAGCCAGATATATTCTGTTTATCAGATTTTAATCCAAACCACCCAAAGAGACCTGCCACTCATAAGCTGGTAACCTTTTGTAGGCCTTTTTGCATTGTTTAACTTAATAATGACGTTTATGAAGAAAAACCAGAATTATTCAGATAATTCAAATGAATTTAACTGGGAATGGAAAGTAGGATCCCACAGTATTAATATTTAAGAGTATGCAACACACAATGAGATCTTATGGAGCCATAACATCACAGAATATTTTATATACGTAATATCTCAGCACTGGAATAGAAGGGGGCTTTAGGGTATGGTGGCTCATGCCTGTAATCCCAGCCACTTTGGGAGGCTGAGGCAGGTGGATCATAAGGTCAGGAGTTTGAGACCAGCCTGACCAACATGGTGAAACCCTGTCTTTACTAAAAATACAAAAATTAGCTGGGCGTGGTGGTATGTGTCTGTAATCCTAGCTACTTAGGAGGCTGAGGCAGGAGAACTGCTTGAACCTGGGAGGCGGAGGCTGCAGTAAGCCGAGATCACACCATTGCACTCCAGCTTGGGCGACAGAGCGAGACTCCGTCTCAAAAAAAAGCGAGGGGGCTTTAATTCTCTGCAAGGTTATTCCATTACATAAATAAAATAAAATAGCTAAATGTTAAATACAACTTGGTTTAGAATGTAAATATGATAGCTTATGTGATGACAATTTATATTTAAAATACTAAACTTTCTACACAGATATTAGGATAGTATATTCACCTAAAAATAAAATGTGTTGTTCAGCATATCAAATGGAAGTTGACTGGCATTAGTGACTTCACTAATGGTTCAGTAAGATATCAACAAAATTCCCTAAAGGATAGAGAGGTAGAAATGTAAGCTGTAGCAAAGCAGGGATGTCAGGGTTTGTTATTTATGTTTATAAGACAACCTCCAGGCCAGGCGCAGTGGCTCATGCCTGTAAGTCTGGCATATTGGGAGGCTGAGGCAGGAGGATCACCTGAGGTCAGAAGTTTGAGACCAGCCTGGCCAGCATGGCGAAACCCTGTCTCTACTAAAAAAACACAAAAATTAGGCTGGGCACAGTGGCTCACATCTGTAATCCTAGCACTTTTGGAGGCCGAGACAACCAGATCACTTGAGGTCTGGAGTTCGAGACCAGCCTGGCCAACATGGTAAAACTCTGTCTCTACTAAAACTACAAAAAAATCAGCTGGGCGTGGTGGCAGAGGCCTCTAATCCCAACTACTTGGGAGGCTGAGGCCGGAGAATCACTTGAACCCAGGAGGTAGGGATTGCAGTGAGCCAAGATTGTGCCACTGCACTCCAGCCTGGGCAACAAGAGCAAAACTCCATCTGAAAAAATAAAATAAAATAAAATAAAAATTAGTTTTATTAGAGAGGTACTAAATAACTTATTCTTAGATACTGCAAAATCCCAGAAAAAATCTGGACAGGTGCACACCTAAAATCCCAGCTACTCAGAAGGCTAAGGCAGGAGAATTGCTTGACCCAGAAGGCAGAGGTCACAGTGAGCCAAGATCATGCCACTGCACTCCAGCCTGGATGATGGAGTGAGATTCCTTCTCAAACAAACAAATAAATACCCTCCAAACAAAACAAAATTATTACTAGCAGTTCCAATACATGTACAGGGACTCATTAATTTTTAGTAAACAAACATACCCCCAAGATAGTGTTCAGATTCAGCTCTCAGATAGAATATATGATTTTTTACAAGATATTTTAATTTTTCTTATTTATAACTCACCTCCTTCCAAAAGGAATTTAACGTACTATATAATAACAGAAGTTCAGATAACTGAATCTTAAACAATAAAAAGCTCAAGGGCTTTCTAATGTGTTGACAAATCCAATCTGAGCCTATGCTGCTGTAACTACAAACAAATTTAGCTTTAAGAATTTTGGCAGCCAAAGAAAAAAGGGAATAGAGGAAAAAAGGAAAACTAACACAAGCTTAAAAAGACATCTTTCAGAAGTCTATTTAATGAAAGAAGATCAACAGAAAACTTCAGATGAAAGTACAGGTTTAGAGGGCAGGGCAAATCTTTTTAATTAAAAATTTAATAGAGACAGGGTCTCCCTATGCTGTCTGGGCTTGTCTCGAACTCCTGGGCTCAGGCAATCTCAATCTTGATCTCCCAAAGTGCTGGGATTACAGGTGTGAGACAGGATGACTGGCCCAGAGTAAATCTTTTTGAAGAAAGGTATTTTGTTGTACTACAGAGATACCCATAAACTGCAACTGATCAAATAATTATCACAGGAACCAAGCAAAGCAAAAGCTATTTCTGTACCTGGCATGGTTGGAATGCAAGTCACTAATAAATCGCTCTCTTTTTTTTTTTTTTGAGACTGAGCCTTGCTCTGTCACCCAGGTTGGAATGCAGTGGCACAATCTCGGCTCACTGCAACCTCCTCCTCCAGAGCTCAAGAGATTCTTCTGCCTCAGCCTCCCAAGTAGTTGGGATTACAGGCGTATGCCACCACACCTGGCTAATTTTTGTACTTTTAGTAGAGATGGGGTTTTGCCATGTTGATTAGGCTGGTCTCGAACTCCTGACCTCAGGTGATCCACCCACCTTGGCCTCCCAAAGTGCTGGGAAGTACAGCGTGAGCCACCACACCTGGCCTCTCTTTCTTTTTTAATAGAGACAGGGTTTGCCCTGTCACTCAGTCTGGAGTGCAGTGGTGCAGTCATAGCTCTTTGCAGCCTCGAACTCCTGGGCTCAAGCAATCCTTCTGCCTCACCCTCCCAAGTAGTCAGGACTATTGGCATGTACCACCACACCAGTCTAGTTTTTTCATTTTTCTGTAGGGATGGGGGTCTTGGTTTGCTGCTCAGGCTGCTCTCAAACTCCTGGGCTCAAGCAATTCTCCTGCCACAGCTTCCCAAAGTGCTGGGATTACAGGTGTGAGCCACCACACCCAGCGGACAATTTTTTTTTTTCCCATACGCACTCAAACAGTAAAATTAAAGACACTGTCAAATGTGAAGGATGGTGCAAAGCTGTTGAGATGGCCCCAAAGCATCACATAATACAATATACATGGATTTTGTATTTTGAAAGGAAAGTCTCAATATATGGAAAGTTATTCTAATTTTCACTTCTCTTGTATATTTTCTAAGCGCTCCAATTGAGGCCACATTTTAACAGGCAAGTAGATATCACCTTAGCAAAAGAATAAGGTTTTCCAGAATTGATAAGCAGCCCAAACTCATAATGAAGACAGTGAATGGATGCATTTACCTATAGGTATAGTACTCTTTATTAGAGAGGAACTAAATAACTTTGCTATTATTATAATTGTCAGCAACAGAGGTTACATATTTCAGAACAGCTTCTAACAGTCTCATTTAAAAACATTAGCTTTAATATCATAGATAATAGACACTAGAAAATGGTTATTTTCCAGGACAACGGTGAAGTACCATAATTAAAAGTGAGAGATTCTGGAGAATCATACCTTTTTCATTTCCACTCTTCTGTCTTGCCATTTCCTGTCTCAGGGCACAGATAGAAGCTTCTCGTACCAAAGCAGAGAGATCTGCACCCCTACAATAAAATAATAGTTATTTATTTCTTCTTAGATACCACAAAAGCCCAGAAAAAAGCTGGACAACAATTTTCATATAAGTCATATATGAAATAATCAGGAAAGAAAGTGACCAATAATGATGAGATAAATTGATTATCATCAATAGGAAAGAGCTTTTAGCTTTTAAGTATGATACTTCTAGGCCAGATTCAGTGGCTCATGCCTGCAATTCCAGCACCTTGGGAGGCTGAGGTGGGTGGATCACTTGAATAGGAGTTTGAGACCAGTCTCAGCAATATGCCATGTCTACAAAAATATTAGCTGAGCGTGGCGGCATGTGCCTGTGGTCCTGGGCACTCAGGAGGCTTAGGTAGGAGGATCACTTGAGCCCAGGAGGTAGAGGTTGCAGTGAGCCAAGACTGCACTACTGCACTCCAGCCTGGGTGACAGCATGAGACTCTGTCCCAACTAAAAAAAAAAAAAAAAAGGGAAATTCTGGAGGAAACAATACAATGCATAAAGGGCTAAAGTGCTGACAAGCATATTCATTTATTACATAATGTCTAAAGTAAGCTTATTAAAAGTCATTTATGGGCTGGGCGCAGTGGCTCATGCTTGTAATTCCAGCACTTTGGGAGGTTGAGATACTTGAGCCTGGGAGGCATAGGCTGCAGTGAGCCTGGCTGACAGAGTTAGACCCTGTCTCAAAAAAAACCCAAGTTCAAAAGGGAAATATACAAACGCTGGAAAGTCTTTAATGCACCTGATTCAAGTTAAAACTGAATGAACACATCACAAGTTACTTAAAATGTGACAAATACAAACAGTCCTTCATTTATTTAATTATTTCATGTAATAATATGCTCAGTCAGCACAGTTCTGAGTTCAATGAAAGACTCATGCTGACTGGCGTTTTACTACATTACAGCTTTAACAGGACTCTTAGAGATGTTTTGAGAAAGAGTTTGAATCTGGGGATAAAGACCTCATTTCTATGTCACAAGTCTTGGAAAGAAAAGATGAAAATAAAAAACATTTTTAAAAAACTTCATTTCTGACTTTTCCAATTTGCTTCAAATGATTGCAGAAAAAAAAACCAAACTACATTTCTGGATATTAAACTTATTATATAATGTTGACAATCCACATACTATATACATTTTTTTTTTTTGAGATGGAGTCTTACTCTGTCACCCAGGCTGGAGCACAGTGGTGCCATCTTGGCTCACTGGAACCTCCACGTCCCAGGTTTGAGTGATTCTCCTGCCTCAGACACATACTATTTATAAAAGTAAAGACCCACAGAGCTTAAATTTTTAACTGAATCTGGTGTTTTGTTGGCTAAATGTTAGGGTTATAACATTATTTAATAATCACATACATGCTGGGGTGTTCATTCCTTCCCCTACTCTGAAATCTAACATTGGTGCAGACAATATTAACTAACGCAAACAGATAGCTAAAGACTGTAGTAGCGTAGTGTCTCTCAAACTAGTGAGACGAAAATCATAGCGGCATGAAGATCCAAAATGTACACCACTCAACTTTAGCCCTAACCCCTTTATAGACAGACAACCTACTTGGTACATCCAAAATATTTAGCCCAGGGCAAGTTCTGCCACCAAAATCATCTTTGCTACTCACTGAAAATCTTTTCAGGTTTGAGCACTTAAAGCTGTGTTTTTGTTTTCTTTTAGAGACGGGGGTCTTACTATGCTGCTCAGGCTGGTCTTGAACTCCTGACCTCAAACAATCTGCCTGCCTCAGCCTCCCAAAGGGCTGGGATTACAGGTATGAGCCACTGCTCCCACCCTTAAAGCAGTAAACTACTCAAGTAGTAGTCCCCTAAGTAGTATGATCATTTATTTATTTAATTTTAATTTTTTTTTTTTTTTTGATGGAGTCTCACCCTGTTGCTCAGGCTGGAGTGCAGTGACACAATCTCGGCTCACTGCAACCTTCACCTCCTGGGTTCAAGCAATTCTCCTGTCTCAGCCTCCCTAGTAGGTGGGATTACAGACATGCGCTAGCACGCCTGGCTAATTTTTGTATTTTTAGTAGAGACAAGGTTTCACTATATTGGCCAGGCTGGTGTCAAATTCCTGACTGCCAGGCCTCCATGTGCAAGTTCAGACCCAGAAAGTCTAAAGTTCTGCCTGCCTTGGCTGATAGCCTCCACCTCCCCTACCCCCCCATATGGCAAGACCCCATAACTACAAAACATTAAAAAAAGATTGGCTGGGCATGGTGGTGTGCACCTGTAGTCCCAACTATCCGGGAGGCTGAGGTCAGAGAATTGCTTGAGCCCAGGAAGTGGAGGCTATAGTGAGCCATGATCATGCCACTGCACTCAGCCTAGGCGAAAGAGGGAAACCCTGTCTGGAAAAAAAAAAAAAAAAAAAAAAAAAACTGGAGGGGGCATTGTCTCTGTTAGTTAAACTGAGTTTCATTTCTTCTCTCTATGTCCCAAAATTGGGAAAGTTAGCAAACAAATTTACTTCAAAACATGAAGAAAAACTAACAACTACAACAACCACAAACATAGGAAGGCTGAAGGCAGAAACGTCAGATTTCCTGAAGTTACTACAGGCTTGTGGGGGTGAAAAGGTGTGCTGTGAAAATGCATCCTGAGGGCTGGAAAATGTGGCACTTGTACATTAGTCTCTTTTACATGCTGAAGCACCAGCACGATTTGTAAAGGACAGCAAAGCTGATTAGGGTAGGTTAACTACCAAGAGTCAACATATGAAAGGACTCCCCTGTTCCCAGGAATTCCTTTAGAGCCTCCAAATGTGCAGTCTCTTCTCTAAGAAGGGAGATGCCAGACACTTCATATGCTTCACAGGATAATTCATTTAATCCTCCCAACAATCTGCTGAGGTTAGCCTCATTCTCCCTCATTTTATAGTGAGAAAATTGAACCCCAGAGAGTGAACTGACTTTAAACACTTACGTATAGCAATCACAGCGAAGGTCACCAGCAATTGCTTCCAAATTTACATCTGCATCCAGTGGTGGTTTGGTACCATTCTAAGTAAGAGAGAAAAATGATTTTTCACTAGAACTTTAAAGACCATGCTGGGCACGGTGGCTCACGCCTGGAATCCCGCCTCTTTGGGAGGCCAAAGTGGGCAGCTCACCTGAGGTCAGGAGTTCGAGACCAACTTCGGCAACATGGTGAAACCCTGTCTCTACTACAAATAGAAAAATTAGTCTGGCATTATGGTGTGCACCTGTAGTCCCAGGTACTCCAGAGGCTGAGGCACTATAATTTCTTGAACCCTGGAGGTAGAGGTTGTAGTGAGCAGAGATCATGCCACTGTACTCCAGCCTGGGCAACAGAGTGAGACTGAGTCTCAAAAATAAAGACAAGACCACATTCAACTACATAATAGGTTCTTAATAACGGCTGTTGGGCTGGGCACAGTGGCTCGCACCTATAATCCCAGCACTTTGGGAGGCTGAGGTGGGTGGATCACGAGGTCAGGAGTTCGATACCAGCCTGATCAACATGGTAAAACCCTGTCTCTACTAAAAATACAAAAATTAGCTGGGCATGATGGCGCGTGCCTGTAATCCCAGCTACTCAGGAGGCTGAGGCAGGAGAATCGCTTGAATTTGGGATGCAGAGGTTGCAGTGGGCCAAGATTATATCACTGCACTCCAGCCTGTGTGACAGGGCATAAAAAAAAAAAAAAAAAAAAAAAAAAAAGTATAACTGACTTCCAGACCAGAGCTGTTAAGATTTATACAAATTTGGGTGGGGAGGTTGGGGACAGAAACACTGGAAGAAATGCCTGATGTAGGTAACAGGGGAATGGAGGCAGCAAACCACCATGGCATGTGTGTACCTATGCAATAATCCTGCAAGATCTGCACATGTACTTCAGAACTTAAAGTATATATATATATAAAGATTTATACAAATTTCAATTTTGAGAAATGAGGCTAAGAAGCAGATTCCAAACTTAAGAAAGCTAAAGACAACAATTTATGCTCATGAAATGTGAGGAATTTGTGTGCAGATGCAGCAAAAACTAAACACCTTCAACAACAGTAAAAACCAGCACCTCAATCTTTCCAAATGTGAAGAAACACATTTCCTTTGCCAGATTAAATATGGCAAATACTTAAGCAATGCTTAGTTTTGGTGTGAGGCTAGCTAGCACGGGAGAAATAATACTGAACCTGGCCAGGAGAGAAGGAGCAGTAACCTGCTCTGTAATAAAACCACAAAGCCCTCTGAGCTCAGTATATTCTTTCTTCATCTAACACTTAATCTTCATTTTGGTGCCAATTCCCCGTCAGCTCATTTCAAGACTAGCAATGACAAGTATGTAACTTAGAACTCTTAGAGTTTCTCATGAGACTAGATGTAGAGAAAAAAGCCAACCCAGAATTTTTTTTTTTTGAGATGGAGTTTCGCTCTTGTTGCCTAGGCTAGAGTGCAATGGCGTGATCTCAGCTCACTGCAACCTCCACCTTCCAGGTTCAAGCGATCCTCCTGTCTCAGCCTCCTGAGTAGCTGATATTACGGGTGCCCTCCACTACCACTGTCCAATTTTTGGTATTTTTAGTAGAGATGGGGTTTCACCATGTTGGCCAGGCTGGTCTTGAACTCCCGACTTCAGGTGATCTGCCCGTCTCAGCCTGCCAAAGTGCTGGGATTACAAGCACTTTGGGAGGGATTACCGCTGGGATTACCGTGCCCAGCCTTGCCAGCCCAGAATTTTAACACTTAACCTGGTACCTTGCATACACATACATTGTGTTTAATAATATTTTTAGCAACAAATTGCAGAGGCAAACAAAACAGCTTATCCCCCCCCTGCCCAGGGTCTTACTCTGTTGCCCAGGCAGGAGTGCAGTGGAACAACCACAAGAGATTTGACCTCCTGGGCGCAAGAGATCCACCTCAGCCTCCCGAGGAGCTGGAACTACATGCCACCATGCCCTGCTAAATTTTTTTCTTGAGACAGTCTCGCTCCAGAGTGGAGTGGTGTGATCTCGGCTCACTGCTATCTCTGCCTCCCGGGTTCTAGCGATTCTCCTGCCTCAGCCTCCTGAATAGCTGGGACTACAGGTATGTGCCACTACGCCTGGCTAAATTTTTGTATTTTTAGTAGAGACGCGGTTTGGCCAGGCTGGTTTCAAACTCCTGGCCTCAGGTGACCTGCCTGCCTCAGCCTCTCGAAGTGCTGGCATTACAGGGGTGGGCTACCTTGACTGACCTAATTTTTTTTTTTTTGTAGCGATGAGGTCTTACTATGTTGCCCAGGCTTGTCTCAAACTCCTGGCCTCAAGCAATCCTCCTGCCCCTGCCTCCCAAAATGTTGGGATTACAGATGTAAACCACCGTACCCAGTCAAAACAGTTTTTTTTTCTTCCGCCACTACCCAAGTTTTTAACTATATAAAATGTCTGGCAGTTAGATGGTAAGTTTATGAGTATTTGCTTATTATTCTGATTCATAACTTACATACACATTGCATATATTCTTTTATGTGTAGCAAATATTGTATTGCGAAATAACTATTTTTAGAAGAAACATGGGTGGGTGTGCTGGCTCACGCCTGTAATCCCAGTGCTTTGGGAGGCCAAGGTGGGCAGATCACCTGAGGTCAGGAGTTGAAGACCAGCCTGGCCAACATGGAGAAACCCCGTCTCTACTAAAACAAAAATTAGCTGGGTGTGGTGGAGCGTGCCTGTAATCCCAGCTACTCAGGAGGCTGAGGCAGGAGAATCACTGTAACCCGGGAGGTGGAGGCTACAGTGAACCGAGATTGTGCCACTGCAATCCAGCCTGGGTGACAGTTCAAGACCTGGTCTCAAAAAAAAGAAAAAAAAAAGAAGAAGAAGAAGAAGAAGAAGAAGAAGAAACACACACAAAAGTGAATAAATCACAAGCCATTAAGCATTTCTTTTTTCTTTGAGACAGGGTCTGGCTCTGCCATCCAGGCTGAAGTGCAGTAGTATAATCTTGGCTCACTGCAACCTCCACCTCCTGGGCTCAAGCCATCCTCCCACATCAGCCTCCTGGGTAGCTGGGACTACAGGTACCCACAACCACATTCAGCCAATTTTGTATTTTTTGTAGAGACAGGGTTTCACAATGTTGCCCAGACCGATCTCAAAGTCCTGACTTCAAACGATCTGCCTGCCTTGGCCTCCCAAAGTGCTGGGATTATATGTGTGGGCCACTGTACATGGTCCATTAAGCTTTTCTTATTGTAAAATGTCAGCCTGGCAGGGCCGAGTGCGGTGACTCACGCCTGTAATTCCAGCACTTTGGGAGGCTGAGGCGGGTGGATCACCTAAGGTCAGGAGTTTGAGACCAGCCTGGTCAACATGGGGAAACCCTGTGTCTACTAAAAAATACAAAAATTATCAGGCGTGGTGGTGTGCACCTGTAGTCCCAGCTACTCAGGAGGCTGAGGCAGGAGAATTGCTTGAACCTGGGAGGTGGAGGTTGCAGTGAACCAGAGACCACACCACTTCACTCCACCCTGGCAACAGATCGAGACTCCATTTCAAAAAAAATAAAAAATAAAAAACAAAATATCAGCTTGGCAAAGTGCTTCAGGCACAGGGTTCGGCAACCTGGCCAAGAGGACTGGAGCTGGCGGCCTTGTACCCTAGTTACCTGTTGCTCTGCCTACGTTCACATACCAGCCTCTCACTGCCTCCCAGCAGGGCATGTTCAAGAACTGCATAAATTATAGATCTGTTAGTTGTTATCACTAAATAGTTATCTACCACAAGTTCAAGAAACAGTTAATTTCCCATTCAATCCATTTTGACCTGGGACACAAACTATGATCTTAGCCAAAAATCTTGTGCTTTTTTTCTCTGAGTAGTAAAACTAAAAGGTCGGAATGCAGGATTGCTAAGCATCTTTTAGTATAAACAATTTTCAACTGAGTCAGGATAGCAGTCAATCCTGGGGGTACGCAGGAGTGGGCAGTGGCTGTAAGCAGAAGGGCAGCTTCTGGGAATGTTCCTCATGCCCTGAACAGGAAGCTTCAGGGTCTGGAAATGTTCTGTTTTATTGTGGCAATACATAAAAAAAATTGGCCGTTTCAACCTTTTTCAGTGTACAGGTCAGTGGCATTAAGCCCTTCCACACTGTTGTGCAATCATCACCCCTATCCCACTCCAGAACTTTTTTTATCTTCCCAAAAGAAAACAATGTATCCATTAAACACTAATTCCCCATTCCTCCTGCCCCCACCTCCCAACCGCTGGCAGCCACCATTCTACTTCATAATTCTATGAATTAGACTGGGAGTGTTCTCGCTCTTGATCTGGAGGCTTTGTTAGTAACAATTCATGGATCTGGACATTTACCACTTTTTTTTTTTTTGAGACGGAGTTTCGCTCTTGTTACCCAGGCTGGAGTGCAATGGCGCAATCTCGGCTCACCGCAACCTCCGCCTCCTGGGTTCAGGCAATTCTCCTGCCTCAGCCTCCTGAGCAGCTGGGACTACAGGCACGCGCCACCATGCTCAGCTAATTTTTTGTATTTTTAGTAGAGATGGGGTTTCACCATGTTGACCAGGATGGTCTCGATCTCATGACCTCGTGATCTACCCGCCTCAGCCTCCCAAAGTGCTGGGATTACAGGCTTGAGCCACCGCGCCCGGCCTACATTTACCACTTTTTAATTTTTTTTTTTTTTTGAATCTCTAAATCTACTTGACATTTACCACTTTTCCGTATTTATATCATACTTCAATGAAAAGACCTAAAATGTGAAATTAACATTGGATGAGGAAATTAGAAAACATGAGTTCTAAAGTCTGAATTTGCAAATGAATGGCCCTTATGGAAGTTAGTTAATCTTTATTATTTGTTTATTTATTGGTAAAAAAAAAAAAAACAGTATCTTATCTCCAGATAAGTATATATAATTTTGTGCTATATTTGAGAGGGGAGAGGGGGCATCAGTGAACATATAATAGTGATTTCTTAAAATGAAGACTAGCATAGACTTTCTTGCTATAGTGGTGGGGTTGCCACATTAGACAAGAGCCCTTATTAGGTGCTTTCTATAGTTATAGGAACTCATCAACTTACCCTGACTGTCACACTGTCACATTAACTGTGTGGATCTTCCCTAAGGACACTCTGCGTATTGTTAGAGAATCTAACCTCAAACTATCTAGTGTCCTCTTTTAATCAAAAGCTCAATCATAAGAAATACATTCATTATTAGAATCTTTTGAACTAATCTGGAATGCCTGAAGACAGTTCTTTTATACTTCTCAATATCCAAATTCTACCCTTGGGTTAAGCTGGACTTCCCAAGGTCCTGTGCACCCTCAGAGTGCCTTTGTTGGACCTTCATCAAATTGTATTTAAGGAACTGTCTTTGAGTAATACCCTCAGTTTATACCCTCAGTTTATATTAAGAAAATAACAAGCCTCAGTCTCAAGAGGTTTACTGTGTTTATGTCAGAAATATTGTTAAAAGCATTGTGCATCACATCTTACCGTTCTCTTTGTGAGGACCCAGAGGAGGAATTTTTCTTTTTCTTTTTTGTTTTTGAGATGGAGTCTCACTCTGTTGCCCAGGCTGGAGTGCAGTGGCATGATCTTGGCTCACTGCAACCTCTGCCTCCTGGGTTCAAGTGATTCTGCTTCAGCCTCTTGAGTAGCTGGGATTACAGGCATGTGCCACTATGCCTGGCTAATTTTTGTATTTTTAGTAGAGCTAGGTTTCACCATATTGGTCAGGCTGGTCTCGAACTCCTGACCTCATGATCCAACCGCCTTGGCTTCCCAAAGTGCTGGGATTACAGGCGTGAGCCACCAAGCCAGGCAGAGGAATTTTTCTCACATTTGCATAGTGGGAGCAATTGTCGGCTTTCTATTCTTAGCATATTCTTTAAGAAAAATCTTTAGTGAAAGAAAGCTTGTTATATAAAGGAACACAATAAATAAATCAGGTGGTCTATGAACTTCAGAAAACTAATTAATTGTTACACATTTAGATACTCTCAGAAGTTTCCAAATTCCTAGATGATTAAAGCTTTAGAAAGATAAATCCTTTCAAATACCCTCACTTGAAAGAAAGTTACAAACTTTTTTTTTTTTTTTTGAGGGCATGAGATGTACTCTACCTAGGATATCTCCAAAAGTTTCTATAGCAACATTAGTTTCTAATTATTAGAAATAAGGGCAAAGGAAACTTTGGATTACTGAAATCTAACTATTCTTTAATTGAAATGTGGCAATGTTCTAACTTACAGTAAGAAGTAAACTGAATTCTATTTATTCTCGAGTGAGAGTGATCAGAATTTTTCTCTTCGTTTTGAGAAAGTCTCACTCTGTTGCCCAGGCTGGAGTACAGTGGTGCAATCTCGGCTTGCTGCAACCTCTGCCTCCCTGGGTTCAAGCAATTCTCCTGCCTTAGCCTCCCGAGTAGCTGGGATTACAGGTGCCCATCACCACTATGGCTAATTTTTGTATTTTTAGTAGATACGGGGTTTCACCATATTGGCCAGGCTGGTGTTGAACTCCCAACCTCAGGTGATCTACCTGCCTTGGCCTCCCAAACTGCTGGAATTACAAGAGTGAGCCACTGCACCTGGCCAAGAAAAATTTTAAATGGCATATTAAAGAGCTTATAAAACAAATGAGTATTTTGGAAAATCATTTACTGAAATAGTATTATGATATGAAGTATTTAGAAGCTTAATTTGGTTTTTCTTTATGACATTATCTCTTAATAATATAATATTATGTTACAATAATATATTATCTTTTAATAAAGGCCCTAATGGAAATCACAAATAATTTGGTAACTACAGAAAGCTAAGCTAAAGGAATTATTATACAAAGAAGAAAAATAGTCTCTTAAGAAATTATAGGCCAGGTAGGGTGGCTCATGCCTGTAATCCCAGCACTTTGGGAGGTTGAGGCAGGCAGATTACCTGAGGTCAGGAGTTTGAGACCAATCTGGGCAACATGGTGAAGCCCTGTGTCTACTAAAAATGTATGTGTGGTGGCCGGCACCTGTAATCTCAGCTACTTAGAAGGCTGAGGCAGAAGAATCACTTGAACTCGGGAGGTGGAGGTTGCAGTGAGCCAAGACCGTGCTATTGCACTTCAGCCTGGGCATCAAGAGCAAAACTCCATCCCAAAAAAAAAAAAAAAAGTATAGCCCACAAATATTGTGTGATTCTACTTGCATGAGGTACCTAGAACAGGCAAATCATAGAGACAGACAGTAGAATGGTGGTTGCCAGGGGCTGAGGAAAGGGGAATGGGCAGTTCGTGTTTAACAGGTACAGTTTCAGTTTGGGAAGATGAAAAAGTTCTGGAGATGAGTAGTGATGGGTGCACAACAATGTCAATGTACTTAATGCCACAGAAATATACACTTACAAATGGCTAACATGGTAAACTTTGTTATATATCTATATTATTTTACTAAAATTTGAAAACATGGCTCATTTACAGATATTTCATATAATTCTGATTAAGCATATATGAAATCAGGTTCAAAAAGTAATTCAAGATGTTCTACTACTTTTATTTTAACAATTATTTCCATTTGGTCACACAAGTCTATTCTTTTTTTTTTTTTTCCTTTTTTTGAGACAGAGTCTAACTCGACATGTCGCCTAGGCTGGAGTGCAGTGGCGTGATCTCACTTCACTGGGTTCAAGCAATTCTCCTGTTTCAACCTCCGGAGTAGCTGGGACTACAGGTGCATGCCACCATGCCCTGGCCAATTTTTGTATTTTTAGTAGAGACGGTGTTTCACCATATTGGTCAGTCTGGTCTCAAACTCCTGACCTTAGGTGATCCAACCGCTTTGGCCTCCCAAAGTGCTGGGATTACAGGGTTAAGCCACCGTGCCCAGCAAAATCTCTTCTTAATTACATAACAGAGTCCAGCATCAGTAATGCTTTTTTTTTTTTTTGAGACAGTGTTTCACTGTTCTCGCCCAGGCTGGAGTGCAATAGCGAGATCTTGGCTCACTGTAATCACTTGAGGCTCAAGACGGGCCTGACTAACATGGAGAAACCCCCTCCCTACTAAAAATACAAAATTAATCGGGCGTGGTGGCACATGCCTGTAATCCCAGCTACTCAGGAGGCTGAGGCAGGAGAATCGCTTGAACCCAGGAGGTGGAGGTTGCAGGGAGCTGAGATTGTGCCATTGCACTCTAGCCCAGGCAAAAAGAGCAAAACTCCGTCTCAAAGAAAAAAATAATTCTACTCATCACGAAGCTTTTAGTGATAGACCTCTTAGCATCATATCATCACCAGAAATATCAAATAAAAAATATAAAAAAGGCTGGGCGTGGTGGCTGAACACCCGTAATTCCAGCACTTTGGGAGGCTGAGGTGGCTGGATCATGGGGTCAGGAGTTTGAGACTAATCTGGTCAACATAGTGAAACCGATCTCTACTCAAAATGCAAAAATAAAATTAGCTGAGTGTCGTGGCGGGCACCTGTAATCCCAGCTGCTTGGGAGGCTGAGGCAGGAGAATTGCTTGAACCTGGGAGGTGGAAGCAGTGAGCTGAGATCACGCCATTGCACTCCAGCCTGGGTGACAGTGCGAGACTCCATCTAAAAAAAAAAAAAAATTAGCATATTGCTCCCACATTTTTTTTTTTTGGAGACAGAGTCTTGCCCTGTTGCCCAGGCTGGAATGCAGTGGCACGATCATGGCTCACTGCAACCTCCACCTCCTGGGTTCAAGTGATTCTCCTGCCTCAGCCCTCTGAGTAGCTGGGATTATAGGCACATGCCACCAGGCCTGGCTGATTTTTGTATTTTTAGTAGAGACGGGGTTTCACCATGTTGGTCAGGTTGATCTTCAATTTCTGACCTCGTGATCTGCCCACCTCGGCCTCCCCAAACTGCTGGGATTACATGTGTGAGCCACCGCGCCCGGCTTACTCACTCTTCTTTCAAGAAACTTAGATCCCGAAAGATATGAAGAAGTTGCTCTGACCCACAATTTTTTTTCAGACTTTTAAGAACAGGACTAAAGAACTCTATTCTAATCTCTCTGTAATATTTCAAATGTTAATAGAATAGAAAACTGTATATAAAACAATCTGGGGAATTAAAGTCAAAAGCTAGCAAACAAATAGAATGGGTAAACATTAAAAATGTCAATTTTCCTCACTTTCTGTTGACTTACAAAGATACATATGGGCAGGAAGTCTGCCTTATGACTTCTCCCCTCTCAAGTTAGATATTGTGCTTCCTCTTCCTCTCACTCTGCCCGGCTTTAGCCATCAACAAAGTTCTTTAAACAAAACACTCATGACCTCTGGAGGATGAGGTAAGATAAGGATGTGAAATTGCAGTGCTAACAGCTCTCTTGAGAGCGCACCAGGCTGACACCGGCAGACAGGGCACAGGGAAGCTGCATGCGGGTCCTTCTCCTCCATGCGGGTCATGCACTCTGCACAATGAGGTTCCAAGGCTGAGAACAGGACACAGCCGGAGTTGAAGCAAAAATGCACTCTCAAGTCCAAGAGAATAAATGGACAAAAGCCCTTGTGCCTTTGACACAGACAGAGGCTAAGGAATGACTATGCAGCAGTCTAAAGCACAATCTACAAAAGATGCTTTTGGCCGGGCCCCATGGCTCATGCCTGTAATCCCAGCAGTTTGGGAGGCTGAGGTGGGCGGATCACAAGGTCAGAAGTTCCAGACCAGCCTAGCCAACATGGCGAAAACCATCTCTCTAAAAATACAAAGCTGGGTATAGTGGCATATGCCTGTAATCCCAGCTACTCGGGAGGGGGGAATCCACCCGCCTTGGCCTCCCAAAGCATTGGGTTTACAGGTGTGAGCCACTGCGCCTGCCCAAAATTGACTTTTTCTATCGAAATGTCTTTTTTGTTTTTTTGTTTCTTCTCCCATATTCACAACTTCATGCTTGGAAGCTGCAGGACTCCTCTCTCTTACCCACCCCATTTATGCCAGATGACTATTCTTTACACAGATAGACAAACCAAAGATATGCATACATATAGTCATGAGAGAAAATCTGAAAATATAAAGCAAATGTGTACTTTGGGAGACCAAGGCAGGCAGATGACTTGAGACCGGGAGTCCGAGACCAGCTTGACCAACATGGCGAAACCCTGTCTCTACTAAAACTAGAAAAATGGCTGGGCACGGTGCCTCACGCCTGTAATCCCAGCACTTTGGGAGGCTGAGGCGGGCAGATCATGAGGTCAGGAGTTTGAGACTAGCCTGGCCAACATAGTGAAACCCCATCTCTACTAAAAATACAAAAATCAGTTGTGCATGGTGGTGTGTACCTGTAATCCCAGCTACTCGGGAGGCTGAGGCAGGAGAATCACTTGAACCCGGCAGGCAGAGGTTACAGTGAGCTGAGAAGCCCTGGACATCTAGCCTGATATTATCAGGTAGGTCTTGTTGTTGCTCCAAGCCGGCTGGGCTCTTACAGTGACGCTATGGTGCTCTCCTATGAAACAAACAATTCCACAGAATATGGACATTACCCAATGCCACTTTGTGACCATGAAGGATCAAGACAGAAATGAGAAATCTGTAATGAAGTCTGAACATGGACAAAGCACAAACACTGTCCAAGACACAAAAATGACCAAACATCCACCATCCTAGCTAATATAACTGCTGTTTCTTTGCCAATCACAGTTTTAGCCTTGCTGTAATCTTCCTTCCATTTAGGTAAGATTTATTAAGTCACGCAATTACAGAATCATGCTTGGGTTTCAACAGCCATTCAGGGCAAAGCCTGTTATTAAATCCTTCCCAAATCTAACACGAATCCCAAATCAATTAAGTCCTTTCTAATACCCTCTTACTGAGATAATGCCCCTAGTTCCCCATGGGGTACATTCTCCTGAACTGCAAAGAGTAATAAGCCCAACTTGCTCAACTACACGTGTGTTCTTGGTGGGCTTCAGTTGAAGAGCACTGACAAAGCAGAAAAATAACGTATAGTGCCATCTCCCAGAGGCAAGCACTGTGGGTATTCCGGCCTATTTCCTTCCTGACGTTTTTCACTGAATGTCTTTATATATATAGTTGAAATCTCCACACTGTTCAGTCACCTTTATTTCCTTCCCCTCCTCAGGAATGAATGCATAATACATTTGTTGTTGTTTCATAAAGATTTCTATTATCATCTAGAAGACAAGCTCCTGGGAGGTAAGACAATGTCTTATGTTTCTTAGTCTCTGCACAGTCAAGGATGTATTTAGTTTATAACAAATACCTATTGACAAAGTGGGATTTTTTTTTTTTAAGATGGAGTCTCACTTCTGTTGCACAGGCTGGGGTGCAATGGTATGATCTTGGCTCACTGTAACCTCCACCTCTCAGGTTCAAGCGATTCTTCTGCCTCAGCCTCCTGGGTAGCTGGGATTACAGGCGTGCACCATGACGCCAAGCTAATTTTTGTATTTTTAGTAGAGATGGGGTTACACCATGTTGGCTAGGCTGGTCTTGAACTCCTGACCTCAGGTGATTCACCTGCTTTGGCCTCCCAAAGTGCTGAGATGACAGGCATGAGCCACTGTGCCTGGCCAAAGCGGGGTACTTTGAATATTCAGACCTTGGTCTGAGGCCTAATGATTTTGGCAAATAGCACTGAAATTCTAGATGAATGAAGTGTAAAGCTGTTCTGGTGTGAGTGCCATACAGTGAATGAAACACAACAATTATTCTTCTGGGTCCAAATCTATGATGCTCCAAATACCACATGCCTCATGTCTGGCATGTCTAGAAATATATACCAATCCAACTTTTCTCTTTAGTTCATGAAATCCCAAGGACAAGTGTGAAAGGCTTATCATTTTATCACCATGATTGCGGGAAATTCATAGAAACAAGCTTGGATTATATGTGTGTGCTTATTTGTATATACATACACAACCACATACATTGACCAAAGCAAATGAAATCTCACTATCATAGTTCCTAATGACAGAGCCATGGTGGCTCATGCCTGTAATCCCAGCACTTTGGAAGGCCAAGGTGGGCAGATCACTTGAAGTCAGGAGTTTGAGACCAGCCTGGCTAACATAGTGAAATCCCGTCTCTATTAAAAACACACAAAAAATTAGCCAGGTATGGTAGCATGCACCTGTAGCCCCAGCTACTTGGGGAGGCAGAGGCAGATTTCCCTGAACCTGTGAGGCCGGGGTTGCAGTGAGCTGAGATCACACCACTGCATTCCAGCATGGGTGACAAACAAGGCATCTTTTCTTGACACCCTGTTTAAAAAAAAAAAACTAAAAAACAAAAAACCAGAGCCAACGAAAGGGAGGGAAAATGCCATGATGCATTCATCATCAAACTTGTTTGATGCAAAGAAAGAAGCATATGCAACCAAAGCAAGGTTTCTTAACTTTGGCATTACTGATATTTTGAGTTGGATTTTTTTTTTTTTCCCTTGAAACAGTGTCTCAGCTCTGTTGCTCAGGCTGGAGTGCAGTGGTGTGATCATGGCTTGTTGCAGCCTTGACCTCTTAGGGTAAAGCCATCCTCCCACCTCAGCCTACCAAGTAGCTGGGACTACAGGCACATGTCACTATGCCCAGCTAATTAAAAACATTTTCTTGGCCGGGTGCAGTGGCTCACACCTGTAATCTGAGCACTTTGGGAGACTGAAGCAGGTGGATCACAAGATCAGGGGTTTGAGACCACCCTGGCCAACATGGTGAAACCCCATCTATACTAAAAATACAAAAATTAGCTGGGCGTGGTCATGCATGCCTGTAATCACCACTACTCAGGAGGCTGAGGCAGTATAATCACTTGAACCTGGGAGGTGGAGGTTGCAGTGGGCTGAGATGTCACTACTGCACTCCAGCCTGGGCAATAGAGTAAGACTCCATCTCAGAAAAAAAAACAAACTTCCTTGTAGAAGACAGGGTCTCACTCTGTTGCCCAGGCTGATCTCAAACTCTTGGGCTCAAGCGATCCTCCTGCCTCAGCTTCCCAAAGTGCTGGGATTACAGGCATGAGCCATCATGCCTGGCCTTGCATAATTCTTTGTTGTTGGCTGTCCTGTGCAGTGTGGGATATTTAGCAGCATTATCATTCCTCTGCCGTAGTGGTAAACACATGTCCCTAGACACTGCCAAATGTTCCCTGGGAACGTGAGGTGGGGAGGTGGGAAAATTGCCTTAGGTTGAGAACCAGTGAACTAAACCAACATGTTTTCATGGCTTTTACCACCAGCTATGTCCTGGTGACAGGCAAAACTATAACCCAGCCAGGGGACTCTCCTGAACTCCCAACCACGGACCCAACATCCTGCTCGACCTCTCTACTTGGATATCGCCAAGGCACCTGAAGCTCATCTCTCAGACCTCGTATCCTAGTAGATGCCACCAGCTGCACAAGCTGCAAATTCATCTACCTTTTCCTTTACCTCCCAACTCTACAGTTAATTCAATGTCCTACTAATTCAAACCTTTAAACAGTTCTCATATTTATATCTTCCTTGTTATTCCTGTGATAACACCTTAGTTTGTTATTTTTTCTTTTTCACTGATGTTTCTGAGTCATACCTGCATTAGTTCTACATGCTTAATTTCGTAGCTTTTAGTTTTACTGGCTTTTTTTTTTTTGAGACGGAGTTTCGCTCTTGTTACCCAGGCTGGAGTGCAATGGCGCGATCTCGGCTCACCGCAACCTCCGCCTCCTGGGTTCAGGCAATTCTCCTGCCTCAGCCTCCTGAGTAGCTGGGATTACAGGCACGCACCACCATGCCCAGCTAATTTTTTGTATTTTTAGTAGAGACGGGGTTTCACCATGTTGACCAGGATGGTCTCGATCCCTTGACCTCGTGATCCACCCGCCTCGGCCTCCCAAAGTGCTGGGATTACAGGCTTGAGCCACCGCGCCCGGCAGTTTTACTGGCTTTTAAGCTATTTTCCATACTGCCATTAATGGAATCTTTTTACCCCATAAGGATGATCTTCCTTCTGTTCTCATCTGCCCTGTTCTCCCTCCTCTGGGTGATTGTTAGGAACACTGCTAAAGACAGTTTTTAGGTAATGATGGCCCAGTGAAGGAGGATCACAGAATCTTCGTCAGCATCAAAAGAATATACTAAAAACAGTTTTGAAATTTACCAGTAGCAACCAAACAAAGAAAGGAGTAAACCTTCCTGCTGCAAATGTTGAAAAGTGGGTGCAAACAGAAAATTCAAAAATGGCTGAAAATTAGGCCTCCATTCCTGGGAAGGAGTAAGGAAGAAAGAAGGTAAGTTGACAAAATCTTGTGATGTCCATTAATATTCCAAGCTGGAGACAAGTAGCCTGAGGAGAAGACAGCTCTAGAAAAAGTTAGACACACATAATCAAGGGATTTCAGTGGAATCAGGAAGAACTGCCAAGGTATGCAACTTTCCAGGGAGGTGGACAGCTCCCACAGGGGAGGTATCTCTAACTGGAAGGACAAAGCGGGTCCAGGTACAGGCCATTTCATCTCCAGAGGGGCTAACACCACGGGTTAGCTCCCTCTTCCATCCCAAGGCTATAGAAACGTAGATACAAAGCACTTATACAGACCTCAAAATGTAATGTGTGAAGGGCAGAAAAACTAGTTCCGAGTAGTGAGAAGCAGGATGACAGAACTTACTAACTTTTTTTTTTTTTTTTGACAGAGGGTCTTAGTCTGTCACCCAGGCTTGAGTGCAGTGGTACAATCCTGGCCGACTGCAACCTCCACTTCTTGGGCTCAAGCGGTTCTCCAGCTTCAGCCAGGACTGAACCATTGACATCAGCTAATTTTTTATTTTTTGTAGAGATGGGGTTTCTCCATGTTTCCCAGGCTGATCCTGAGCTCAAGCAATCCACCGGCTTTGGCCTCCCAAAGTGCTGGGATTGTGGGTGAGCCAACGTGTTTGGCCCACTTACTTACTTATTTTTAGAGATAGGGTCTTGCTCTATTGCCCAGGCTGGAGTGCAGTAGCGTGATCACAGCTCATTGAAGCCTTGATACCCTTGGTTCAAGCAGTCCCCCCACCTCAGCCTTCTGAGTTCATGGCACTACAGGTGCATGCCACCATATCTGGCTAATTTTTTCTTTTTTTTTTGTAGAGACAGAGTCTCACTATATTGCCCAGGCTAGTCCTGACCTCTTGAGTTCAAATCTGTCCACCTCGCCTTCCCAAAGTGCTGGAGTTTCTCCAAAAGTTTCTATTCTATTTCAAAGAGGATCTGAGGTAAATTATTTTAAAGTAATAATTGAAGATCAGTTCACCTTCCCTTTGGGAGATATAGGCTGGTCAAACATTTACAACTACAGAAAGAGTAATTAGTCAACTAAAATTACTATCTGTTATAACTGTTTCTATTTAAAACAAGAGAAACATATACAAAAATATACCATTTCCTTTACTCACTTTTGTGATAGTTTTTAAGATGGCAAGGCGATCTGCAGGGGGTGGTAAACCCACAAACAGTGTTTTGTCCAGGCGGCCTGGGCGCAGGATTGCAGGGTCAATTATATCTAGAGAAGAAGGGAGGAAAAGTCTTAATAAAACCTTTTATTTTTATTTTTATTTTTTGAGACAGGGTCTCGTTCTGTCTCCCAGATGCTGTCTCCCATCTCAGCTCACTGCAGCCTCAACCTCCCAGGCTCAGGTGATTCTCTTACCTCAGCTTCCTAAGTAGCTAAGACTATAGCGGCATGCCACCATGCCTAATTTTTTTTTTTTTTGATACAAAGTCTCGTTCTGTCACCAAGCTGGAGTGCAGTGGCGCAATCTTGGCTCACTGCAACCTCCGCCTCCTGGGTTCAAGCGATTCTCGTGCCTCTGCCTCCCAAGAAGCTGGGATTACAGGCATGCAACACCATGCCCAGCTACTTTTTGTATTTTTAGTAGAGACTGGGTTTCACCATGTTGCCCAGGATGGTCTCGATCTCTAGACCTCGTGAGCCGCCCCCGTCGGCCTCCCACCGTGCTGGGATTATAGGTGTGAGCCACGATGCTTGGCCCAAAATGGTATAGCTTTTAATCCTTTAACAGATATATGCTTTGCAAATATTATCCCCTAGTCTGTGGTTTATTTTTATGTTCTCTTGCACTTTTTAAAGAGACTGAGTCTCACTATGCTGCCCAGACTAGCCTCGAACTCCTGAGTTCAAGGGAGCCTCTTAACTCAGTCTCCTGAGTAGCTGGGTTTACAGGTGTGTACCACCACACCTGGCTTATTGGCACCTTTCAAAGAGCAGTTTATCTATTTGCTCTTTTATGGTTTGTGCTTTTAATGTCATATAGCAAATCTTTGCTTAATCCAAGGTAGAAAAAAATTTCTCCAGTGTTTTCTTCCAAGAATTTTATAGTGTTGTTTTCACTGGTTTTTGATTCATTTTGAGTTTTTGTATGTGGTAGAGGTATGGAATAAGGTTGAATTTTTCTTTTTGCATATAGATATTCAATTGCTCCAGTACCCATTGTTGAAAAGACTTTACATTATCCACTGCACTGCCTTTGTGCTTTATAAAAACATAAACTATCTAGAAATGCATAGGAATACTTCTGGATTTTTTTTCTGTTCCTGTGATCTACATGTCTCAGCTCTATGCCAATTATCATGCTGTTGAAACATCTTTTAATTTAAACATAGAAATACAGGCCAGGCATGGAGGCTCACACTTGTAATCTCAGCACTTTGGGAGGCTGAGGCGAGAAGATCACTTGAGGTCAGGAGTTCCAGAACAGCCTGGGCAACACGGTGAAACCTGGTCTCTAATAAAAATACAAAAATTAGCCAAGTGTGGTGATGTGCACCTATAATCCCAGCCACTCAGGAGGCTGAGGCAGCAGAATTCTTGAACCTGGGAAGCAGAAGTTGCAGTGAGCCAAGATCATGCCACTGCACTCCAGCCTGGGCAACAGAGTGAGACTGTCTTTAAAAAAAAAAAAAAAAAAAAAAAGTGGCCCAGGTGCAATGGCTCATGCCTGTAATCCCAGCACTTTGGGAGGCCGAGGTGGGCGGATCACCTGAGGTCAGGAGTTCAAGACCAGCCCGACCATCATGGAGAAATCCCATCCCTACTAAAAATACAAAATTAGTCAGGCATGGTGGCACATGCCTGGAATTCCAGTTACTCCAGAGGCTGAGGCAGAAGAATAGCCTGAACCCGGGAGGCAGAGGTTGTGGTGAGCTGAGACGATGCCATTGCACAGCAGCCTGGGCAACAAGAGTGAAACTCCACCTCAAAACAAACAAACAACCCCACAAAAACAAATTTTCTTCTTCTTCTTCTTTTTTTTTTTTTTTAAAGAGATTGGGTCTCGCTGTGTTGCCCAGGCTGGAGTATAGTGGCTATTCACAGGCGCAATCCCACTACTGATCAGCACAGGAGTTCTGTCCTGCTCCGTTTCCGACCTGGGCCGGTTCACCTCTCCTTGGGCAACCTAGTGGTCCCCCGCTCCCGGGAGGTCACCATAGTGATGCTGAACTTAGTGCAGACACCCGATCGGCATAGCACACTACAGCCCAGAACTCCTGGACTCAAGAGATTCTCCAGCCTCAGCCTCCCGAATAGCTGGGACTACAGGCACGCACCACCCTGCCTGGCAGAACTCTCTTTTTCAAATGTTGATAAGCAGCACCTACTGTTCTATATCAAGGACCTCCCCTGCCCACCACTGCAAAAAAGCTCTTACAGCTTGCCATTGGTAAAAAAACAAAACAAAACATTAATTAAAAAAGAAAAAAAAAGTTAAAATTGAGAGGTAACAGTAGCAACTTTTAACTTTAGGAAAACATTATTTTGTTACAAATGGACCCTAAATTTTAGACAAAAGTAGAAAGACAATACAATGAGGGAGTAATTAATCTTTGCAACAAAGGTGCTAGGACAAGTGGATTTTTTTTTTTTTCTTTCTGGAGACAAGGTCTCAGGCCCAGGCTGGAGTGCAGTGGTGTATCATAGCTCACTGCAGCCTTGATCTCCTGGGCTCTGTCAGGCCTCCATGTGCAAGCCTGGACCCAGAAAGTCTAAAGTCCTGCCTACTTTGGCTGACCACCCCCCAACCCCTGTCTGCATTTGCCATTATCTCTGATCACCCAGCGGAGCCTCCCCCTCCACCCACATAAGCTTCCCTTCATCCCACCCAACCATCTTAACTACTCTTACCCCACCTGCCATTGTAACTGAACTTAGGGCAATGTATACTCCTTGCCCCTACCCCCACCACTGTAACCTACCTTACTCTGTACCACCCCTACCCCCTCCCCAAAAGATCTGCCCCAACCTATAAAACCAACTCCTATCCCACCGCCCCTTCTCTAATGCCCTTTTCAGCCTTAGCCCACATGCACCCAGGTGAATAAACAGCCATGTTGCTCACACAAAGCCTGTTTGCGGGGTTGGGGTGGGGTGTCTCTTCATTCAAAGTACAAATTTTAATAGGCTCAAGGAAGCCTCCCACTTCAGCTTCCCAAGTAGCTAGGACTAGAGGCATGCACCACCAGGCCCATCTAATTTTCTTTATTTTTTGTAGCACTGAGGTTTCACTATGTTGCCCAGGGTGGTCTTGAACTCCTGAGCTCAAACAATTCTCCAGCGTTGGCCTCCCAAAGTGTTGGGATTAATGGCATAAGTCACTGCACTGGGCCTGACATGGGATATTGACACTCAAAAGAATGAATTTGGACACTTTCTTCACACATACAAATTAACTCAAAATGGATCAAAGACTTAAATGTAAGAGCTAAAAGTATAAAACTCTGAGAAGAAAATGCAGGAGTTAATTTTGAGACCTTTGGTTAGGCAATGATGTTTACACCACTGATAAAACATCAAAATTGCAGGCAATAAAAAGCACATCAATTGGAATTTATCAAAATTAGAAACTTGTTACAGGACAAAAATGAGTACTGGATAACTAAAAAAAAAAAAAAGAGTTGGAAAAAGAAAAAATAACAACAAAAAAACTTGTGTTTCAAATGACATCAAGAAAGTGAAGGCAATCCACAGATTGGGTGAAAATATACGTAAATCACATATCTGATTTTAGACTTGTATCTAGAACAAAGAACTCCTTCTATTCAATGACAAGGCAAATAACCTAACTAAAAAATGATTCAAACAGACATATCTCCAAAGAAGACATACAAATGACCAACAAGCACAATAAAAGATGTTCAGCTGGGCGCAGTGGCTCACACCTGTAATCCCAGCACTTTGGGAGGCCGACGCAGGTGGATCACGAGGTCAAGAGATCGAGACCATCCTGGTCAACATGGTGAAACCCCGTCTCTACTAAAAATACAAAAAATTAGCTGGGCATGGTGGTGCATGCCTGTAATCCCAGCTACTCAGGAGGCTGAGGCAGGAGAATTGCCTGAACCCAGGAGGCGGAGGTTGTGGTGAGCCGAAATTGCACCATTGCACTCCAGCCTGGGTAACAAGAGCGAAACTCCGTCTCGAAAAAAAATAAGAAAAAAAAAAAAAAAAAAAGTCCAACACTATCAGTTATCATAATGCAAATCAAATCAGAATGAAATACCACCTCATATCCACTAGAATGGCTATAATTTAAAAAGACAGTAACAGGTATTAGTAAGAATGTGAATAAATTAGAACTCTCATATTGTAATATCAGAATGACTAGTGGGAATATAAAAAATGATGCAGCCATTTTGGAAGAGTTTAGCAGTTTCTCAAAATGTTAAACATGGAGTTATCATATGATCCAGCAATTCCACTCCTAGATATAGACCCAGGAAAAATTAAAACATATGTCCACACAAAAATGTACACATGAATGCAGCATTATTCATAATAGCCAAAAACAGAAACAGCCCAGATGTCCAACTGGTGATTAAACAAAATGTGGTATATCCACACAATGGAATATTATTTCATAATAAAAAGGAATGAAGTACTGATACATTCTACAATATGAATAAACTTTGACAACACTATGCTAAGGGAAAGAAGCCAGACTCAAAAGCCCACATACTATATTATTATATTATGCTATTTACATAAGATATCCAGAATAGACACATTTATGCAGACAGAAAGTAGATGATGGACAGGAGTAGTGGCTCATGCCTAAAACCTCAGTACTTTCAGAGGCCAAAGCAGGAGGCCTGCTGCAGGCCAGAGTTTGAGACCAACTTGGCTAAAATAATGAGACCCTGTCTCTACAAAAAAAAAAAGGAAGAAGGAAAAAAGGAAGGAAGGAAGGAAGGGAGGGAGGGAGGGAGGAAGGGGGGCAAGGAGGGAGAAAGAGAAAGTAGATTAGTGGTTGCCTAAGGCTGGAGATGAGAAAAGAAAAAGTGAATGCTAACAGGTGTGAGATTTTTTTAAGGGTGATAGAAATTTTTTTTTTTAAGGGTCTTACTCTGTTGCCCAGGTTGGAGTATAGTGCTATAATTTTGGCTCACTGCAACCTCTGCCTCCTGGGTTCAAGCTATTCTCCTGCCTCAACCTCCCAAGTAGTTGGGACTATAGGCGTGTACCACCATGCCCGGCTAATTTTTGTA